AAGGATGAGGGGTGTATGAAGAGTAAAACGAAAAAATTCGAACCATCCAAGCTAGAAGAGGAACAAATTTGACACTGCAAACAGTTGGCGGCCAGTATTGAAGCGTCTTCCTTGCTTGGCGCCGGCCTCGGTAACAGGTACTTCCGTCTTTACTCCGGTTACTGCTTCTGCTGTGTCTTTTTCCGCCTGTAACTGGCAGGCACGCAGCCGCGCTCTCATTGCCCTGATCTCAGTGTTCCCAGGCGAGTCGAAGTAGGAGGTACCTCGGGGATTTCAGTATCTTCCTGCCTCCCGTAAGTTGTTGTTCCCTCGTCTTCCATCTTTCCTCGTTCTCTCGTTCTCCCGAAAAAATTTCCCTCACACAACTCACATACCATCATCAACTCTTCTTTGGCCTCTTAAAATTCCGTGCATCTTCAAATACTTCGCCAAAAACATTCACCTCCATTGTCGTGATATCTTGAAGTCGATTTGCGCGTCTGGCGCCTGGCCCCATCAAACACGACCGCGACCCGCGACCCTCTGTGGCCTATTTTTCGCCCTTTCCTCCAGATCCCAGCCGCCAGCTATTCTGATTGTGGTTCCTTTGCTTCGCTGTGGGCCCACTTCCTTGCCAACATTATCCACTTCCCATCTCTCTTGCTGGTTCTTTACTTGCAACTCTGATCAAGGCGTGGGAATTTGAAGCCACGCGAGTACCGGCTTTATACTGCATACTGTGCGTGCCGACCAAGGCATTTTAACGGTTCCGCTACTCGCAACTTGTCTCCCTTCACTTCAGCTGCTGCTGTCGTTTTCTTTCGCCTTCGACCGCTCCTCGTGATTGCGTACTAAGCAAGACCGAAAAATTTACTTTAGTGCTGCTTCTGCATCGCTTTTTAATCCACACCCGCACCAACCCACTTCTTTTTTCTCTCCTTCATTCGCCTCTTCTTTTCACACCCACCCACTCAGAACCCACTCAACGTTACCCACCTTTTCAAAAACTGCCCTGACAGCTCGACCGTCTAGAGAGGAGACCTCGAGAAGGAAAAAAAAATAATACTTAAAAAGGTTCGGGACCCAGTTCTCCACTCTGTGCACCCTCTCCAAAGCACTACCTTCAAAGAGGGACCTGCCACGAGCCTCATCCTCCACCATCCAGGAACATCTTCTGCGGAGCTCTACAAGGCATTGCATTTGATATTGCTTTGCTTTCTCAAGTTTTGCAAACCTCTTGGGCCCCTCCTCTACTTCCTTTCTCCGCAAATCCTCGACTTGGACTTGTCATCCACCAAGGTCCATTGTACCCCGGGCAACTTTTTTTGCGTCGCGGTATTCTCAACACCACGACGATTGTCACCAGCTTCGCGTCTACCAAGAGTAGCATGGACGGTCCTCACTACCCCTCCAATGGTATAAACACGACTTCTTCTGGTCAGACTTATCCTTCACCAACCGCGATTTCTCCCAACCAACTGCAAACCGGCTCTCCTCTCCCTCAAACTCTGCCACCGCTGCAGCCTCCAACCTCGGCCATGCAGAACATGTACGGAAGCCACCCTCATACGCCGCGAACCCCAGGCACCCCGAACACGCCTGGGTCGGCCTCAAACATGCCTAGCTACCAGCAGCAGACATCGCAGCCCGCGAACCGCGCTGGTATCTACTCAATGGCCCAGAACCAATACCCTCCTCCCCAGGCCTACGGTACCTCGGCTGCCATGATGCCCCAGGCGACCACTGCCGCGTCTCACCCACAGCCCATCGCACCTGCTCCTGCTGGTGGTCGTGGGCCTCCTGTGCTGCGTCCTATGCCTCCTGGAGGCATCATGTCTCAACCTGGTGTTCAGTCGCCTTATGGTCCCGGTTCTCTTATGCAGCCTACTGCAGTGATGCCAGAGGGCGAACCTCCCACCCACGTTGTTGGTTCTCAGGGACGACGTGGAATCCTTCCCAGTGCTCCTGGACGACCTGCTGCCCCAGCCGCTGGTACTGGCGCCAAGAACACCGTGATTCCTGTCAAGGACGCAGATGGCAAATTCCCTTGCCCTCACTGCACAAAGACTTACCTCCATGCCAAGCATCTTAAGCGCCATCTTCTGCGACGTGAGTAGGACAGCTTGTTGACACTGACAGATTTTACTAACATTCTTTTCCACAGACACCGGTGATCGCCCTTACATGTGTGTTCTTTGCCGCGATACCTTCTCTCGAAGTGATATCCTGAAGCGTCATTTCCAAAAGTGCTCTATCCGCCGTGGCAACCCCACTGGAGCTAGTCACTTGTCGCACCCTCAGGCCCACGTCAAGAAGAATCAGCAGCAGGCTCAGAAGGCCGCCGGCCTCGGCCACGAGGGTGATCTCAACCATCTCAATGGTTTGAGCAACATTCCCGCAGACAACATGGTCCACCCATTTGGCATGGTTCCAGTCTCGGATGGCATGAACAACATGGCCCAGGATCAGAGCCAACTCTCTCGATCCAGCTCGCTTGGTCGTCTCGACAACGGTAACAACGCTGACAGACGGAACATGAACGGTCAGGTCATGGGTGCTTCCCAGCCCTATGGCGCTGACCCCAACATGAACCAGCAGCAGATGACTGGCTACAGCATGCCTCCCGCTCAGAACGGACTGCCCATGTACGGTGGCTCAAACACAAACCCTCCATCTGGCCTTGATTGGTCTCAGATGTTCCAGGCTGGTGCGCATCAAACCTACGTCAACACATCTTTCAATCCTAATCTTGGACAGACTCAGAGCGGAATCAAACCCGAACCTAATGCCGGGCCCGGAACGACAGGCGCCAGCGCCAGCGATACCGTTTTGTCGAATATGGGAATGCAATCTCACCAAACCTCATACAATCTTCTTTCTGATCAGATCCTTAATTTCTTCTATCCTCCTAATCAAGCCATCGATCCCTCTAGCGCGGGGATGAATCTTTACTTCTCGCCCGACAACGTCAAAGACTTCTTGGACAAGTACACTCATTTCCACATCCACATGCCTTTCATCCATGTCGCGACTTTTAAGGTCATGGAGGCGTATACTGGCTTACTTGCAGGCATGTGTTGCATCGGCGCCTGTTACTCAGACAATGTCACCCCGTCCAACGTTCGCGAAATGATGGATTTTCTTGTCGTCGCACTTCAACGCGACTGTAAGATGATGTCTAATGCTGAACCTTTGACAGGGCAACCGAGCTACCCATCTCGGGCTGACATTGAAGAGCTTCAGGCTGTCTTGCTAACATGTATATTATTACTCTGGAATGGAAACCCTCAACAGAGAGAGCGGGCTCGACAGATCTACCCTTCTCTCGCAGCCAACGCTAGGCGACTGAATCTCTTCCAGTCGTCGCGGGACCCTGCCTCTCTGTCACCCCTTCACCAGATTGATTTTGACCGGAACACGTTTGATTTGCAGCAATGGAACTGGGACACTTGGGTTGATCAAGAGCGTCGGAATCGTCTCATGTTTGGCGTCTTTTTAATGGACGCTGCAATGGGACTTTACTTCAACTCTCAACCCTTGTTTGATGTTATGGAATTTCATCTACCTTTGCCTTGCGACGACACAGCTTGGGATGCGGACAAAGCTGGGGACTGTGCTTCCGCGCTTGGCCTCAACGGTGATGCTGCCGCTCGCGATAAGAATCCTTATGGCACTCAGCGACCAAAGCAACCCGAGATGGACTGGGCTCTCAAAGCTCTTCTGCACCCCTCGTATCAGATCCAGCCTGGTAGCACCAACCTCTATGGAAAGTTCGTTCTTATCCATGGCATATTAGCTCTGATTCGGCGGGCCCAGATCGACGGTAATGCGGCTCAGCTGTCCAAATTTGGAACCCCTCCTCCTAATGATTGGATGACTCCAGCCGGCCACAATAGTGGACGGGGTACTCCTGTGGAGGGGGCGGCTGCCAACATTGACCCACAAAGTCTGCAGGCACTTGTTATCGCCCTGAGCAAGTTCAAGAATAACTGGGATGCGGATATGGCCAATCAGTTCCCGCCAAAATTACCGGGATCCAGCAATCCTCGGCGACACGGGTTCTCAAGAGATGGCATCCATTTCTATTGGCTTTCCAATTACTTGCTCAAGCATACGCAAGCGGCGGACTTGCGGTTGTCGCCGGATGCGCGCTTTGTCCAAATTATCCAATTATTGAAGTCGGTGAAGTCGTGGGTGATGTCAGATGGTGCGAGCAGAGGAGAAGAATTAGGATCAGTTGGAGAGATTGATGATCAGTATGGAGCTATGGATCTCACATTAGAGATGGCAAAACTATTCAAACCACTTCCGCAAGTAGTGGAAGACGCTGGCACTGCGTCTGTCAAGACGGAGCTTGACTAAGGGACGGCAGTATGAATTTCTTACAGAACCAAAAAAAGTACTATAGGGGCGGGGGCTGCATCTGGAGGCGTTGCGCTGCATTCTGCTTTGTTTTCTTCATTTTCTTTGTTTCCTGGGTCACTGGGTTTCACCAATGTGATGGTCATCTCAAGGTAGACCGGATTGGCCTCACACATCCATGGTTGGCACTGTTGTGCAATGCATTTGTCGAGAATAGACGGGAAGAGGAGTTGTAACTGCATATTAGACTTTGATCAAGATAGAAAGGGAGGTCTAACCGGTTGACGGTCAACCGGTAGACCATCATGACTTGATGGCTTGGGGCAGGTTAACGATGTTTGCCTATATTTTAACTTGTGCCAATTTGTGTGAAGTATTATGTGTTCATTTCTGGAGTAATGTGATGATAGGCTGATGCTGACACCTTTTGTTCGCTATCTTATGAGAATCATTGCTTTGGATATGTGTTTCCAGCTTCTCAGTTCAGTTGCCCTCCTTCTCGTTCTTTTCAACAGTGATAATCTTTGGTGTGTATTTGTCCAGCTCAGCCTTGTCCTCTTCTGTTGGAGTCAAGCCAAGAGACTTCTCAAGTGGATCAGTCAACATGAGTCCTCCAGCGCCCCAAGCGATGACTGCGATACCGACGCCGAGACGTGTCTTTGGTGAGAGGTTCTTGTAAGCTCTGATTGTGTGAGTGACAGCGCTGAGGGCTACGGTTGAGGATGAGGCAACGTACTTGAGCATGATGGCTGATGTGATGATGAGAGAATGAAGACGAGAATAGCCAGTCACATGACCTGCCTGTCCTTTGAAGATTGACTGGCATCAGCACATAAGATCAACAGGTTCCGGGGTGGGGAGGGGGAAGACTCACTCTTGAGGCCTAAGAGATGCGATGAGGCGTATCGCAATGAATCGGCGGATGAGAACTGGATGAAAATAGACTGAGGTTGATGTTTGATGCGGAAAAGAATGTGATAGGTTTACCGTGGGGCGTGGCAGTAGCTCAGCTCCGAGGTTCAAGGAGCTGAACTCTGTTGATATTGGATCTTGACATGAACATACAATACACAAAGAGCGATATAACAAACCATTGATACTCACACACGAACATACAAAACAACACCAAAGTTTACTCGGAGGAACAAACCATGGAGCATCACGAGCCAGTCGCATCGTCATCGTCATCGCAGCCCCGCCTTACACATCTCCCATACGAGCTCATCAACAACATCGCCATCTTTTTACCAAGAGAAGATTTCAAAAACTTCAGACTTTCATGCCAAACGATTGTAGGATGTACAAAACCACTCCTTGCGTTACCTCATTTCGATGGCGTCCCATGGAGGAAAGATGGTAAACGACTTCACCATCTTTCCCTTATACCGAACTGCGCAAGGCGCATCCGCTCTATCAAGTTCAACATGGCTCGCTTAGTCGAGGGAGAAGTCGAATACGCTACATCTCGAATCATCAACGCAGATGAGCTCCATAGAGCGTGGGGCCCTTATCTCGAGACTCAAGATGTATTCCTCGACCCAATCGAGCTGCCTCTTGACTTGGTAGTTCCAGCTATCATGAGGCTACCCAATCTTGATACCGTGTGCTTGACTTGGACGCAGTGTCCTTGGCAAGACTATAGGGCAATTGACGATGTCTTTAGCGAGGAAGAGTCTATGGAATTAGCTGGCGATGAAATGCTAGAGTCACAGCAAGCGATCCTGGATGCCCTCCTCAGACGCAACGTACCACTCAAGAGTCTAACAATCGAGCCGATAATGCACCCGGATCTGGTATTATCATCTAAACTGGACGAAAAAGTATCAACAGTCTTTGGGTCGGTGACCCAGCTACACTTGCATCTGAAATACGACGTCATCTCCTTCAAACCAGACCGCCTAGATTACTTCATCTCTTTGATGCCCAATATCCGAGACCTAAAAGTCCACAACACTCCTGTCGAATTCGAAGCTAGCGATGTTGGCTTCTACATCACCAAAAGGCTTCCTCACCTCGAGAAGATTGACCTGAGCTGTCTACACATTAGTTTTGTGCACTTTGCCCGCCTGATCATTGAACACGGTCCAACGCTAAAAGAGGTTGACCTGCAGAGTATATATGGATGGTGCGATCCTTTCAGTTCCACTGAGATCGATTGGGATTTTATCTTCAAGCTTATGAAGGAGAAACTAGAGGTGTTGGATACGGTTCGAATCAATGGGCGGTTTAGTGACAATGTGGGCTGGTATCAGATCTTCTTTCGTAATGATGTGCCTGCGGTGGACACAATTGTTAGGGTTATGGGAGAGAAGAGTGGAAGGCTTGAGAAGTATATACTGGAGGGAGGGGAGTATCCTCAGCCGTTATGGAGGATCTAAGGGGTAGGTTGTGCATGATCGAAGGGGCTCTTGGCATGGGACAATATTGGAAGGTAATGAATTATGATGTCAAGGAACTTTAATTTGTAGTTACTTGATGAATCACGAGCAGTATCTGCATAATGATATTGATATGGAGCGAACATTGGGCCACTATCCTTAGGGAGATATAGGGATGCATATAATTACAAGCTTTATCTACAGCAACTATAATCATTACATATTTTTCTTTCTTCTTGTTTAATCTCAATTGACATAGTAGCAGCAGCTTCTAGATAGTATGGCATGAGTTATGTTGACATCGAAGTTGCCTGGAGTTGACACCATGGGTGGTAATCAGATTTGCCCAGTTCATATAAGATTCAGGAGAACATATCAGTATATGTTTGAGAACTTGTGATGCCATACAATCTAATATAAGACAATTGTTGGAGTTATATGAGTGTTTGACTTGAAAGTATAAGTTCTTGTTCTAAAGACCTAATATTGAAGAGTCAACAGGATCTTGTTGTCCTGAAGAGTCATGAACTAGCCAAGGATATAGAGCCGGCCGATATTTCAAACCTAGACAAGCAGGAAGGGTGTAGCTAGGGCCTTATGTTAAGCCTGAACCTACTTATACAAGGAGCGTGATGGTTACAGAGAAAATGAACTTGTTGTATCTTCCCCGCGTCATGCTCGTGCTCTTTCTCACGACCCTTTGCGAAGCATTAGTTCTAACAAATGCTGAGACCTTATAAGCAGAATTCTACACCCCGAGTAGATAACCTATATATCTGCAGTCGTTTACACAATATGGTGCTGAGACAAACGCGAAGCTCCCAGAGTAAGTGAGATACGCCGTCGAACGGTTTCTGTCAGATTATTCCTCCGACTTTTCCAGTTGCTAGCACCACGGAGGGTTCCAAAATAAGACACTGCCACATAGAAGGAAAACTCCTTTATGTGTACCAGGGTCTTTTGTCACTGTTGATTCAAACAGAGTGAGCATGATATGTTAGCCGTATTGTGACGGGTCTTAGATATTGCATGTTCACCACACTGCCTGTTAGAATACGAACGGCACAGCAGAACCTAAGGTATGTCATGAAATTTGCTTTCTTTCCTTTCGCATACTTTCTAGAGATGGCTGCATGGAAGAAGCGCGCTATGGAAGCAATAGATAGGGATGCCTGAGAAATCGAGACCAATATCACGATGACCGCTCAAGTCCGCCAGTCTACACCATGGCATTAAATGAAAGTCTATTCCGTGCTACAACTAGAGGAATGCACGTAGCACGTCATTCGATTGTAAGAAAATTCTGGTGAAGAGAAATCGCAACACTCTTCAAGACAGTGATACAACGGCGGCAGCAATCCCCGAGACATCAAGAGAAGAATAGAGGGACAAGTAGAGGCCGCTTCCGCGCCTCTTGACCAAAAACTGTTGAAGGCTTGGCTGAACTTGAAGTCGAGTGGCAACTGAAGGGAGAGCACGAGACCCTGGAGTACGAGGGGATGGGATGAATGATTATAATTGCTTTTTGGCAGATTTTGTCTCATACTTCCAACTTGTCTCAAAGCATCCAATCTAATGTCGGCCGCGCACCCGCGGTTTAGACGCATCGAGTTTCGCTGGACACTAAAGCATGTCACTTCCATTTCTCATCACGATAATATGAAGTGATGGTTATGCTCTCTGTAACTAGAAACGGCCGTGAATATCTGTGCGTGCAGCGCAACTAATATCGGCCGCTGCCGTAAGCCGGTAACACAAGCCATTCTCGGTACTGCAAGCCTTGTTTCAGAAACATTCCCCTTTGAGGCGGCACAAGGGTTCCTGGAATGACAGGGCGAGAACTAGAATTCTAGGGAGAGGGACCAAGAGTTGAAAAGTAATGCAGATGCGAGGCGATGTAATGTGAGGCGGGTTACACGTGGATTGTGATGTTTGCGTGGAGCATCAACTATGAGACCATCATGAAGCTTGGAGCAGCTCTTCTCCATTCCAAGAAACCACGAATTTTTGTTTCTGTGACTATTGAAGGAGCACTATGTGGCTCGAGACAGAAGCAGATTGTCAACTCTGGCTGGCTGTTGGCCTATATCAGACTAATCAAGTAATAAACCGTTTATGCACGAGATAAATGAGGACGCCACTAGCAAGCCCCGTCCCCCAGAGAACGACGATCGATGAGCAGTAAGAAAAAGAAATTATAATGCATGTCTAGCATAGAACATGCAGTAGTGCATCCTTTCAATATGACCAAGGAAATTAATATGTGACGTTGTACCAGAGAAACATACCGTTTTATTTGTAACTTCGTCTCGAGTTTCCAGGGACTTGTGTGTCACCCCTTGAAACACATGTCAAAAGGATCGATTTATTAAACGAAAGACTCATAGAATCTAATCAAGGGTCCCGGCGTCAAACGCGGAAAATAAATGTTTTCTTTGTTGATCTGATCTAGAGCCATCCCTGTAATTATCAAAACCCTTGACCCGCAGGTTAATCTATCAAGATACCTTATGCTCACATAACCCGGACATTACGTTCCCTCTGTTTCGAGTAAATTACTATAGTTTTCTTTGACAAGTGTCTTGGCTGGTTAAATTAATATTCTCTCCCGCCTTGAGGAGGGCTGCGAATTTTGTGCTGGAATGCAAACGAGCATTCAAGGATATGCCAGCTTTTACGCCTCAGTCTTGTTACCGGAAGATTTGTTCCAGTTTGCACGTCATGGCTTGCGTATGCTAGACATGATCAAGTGCAGTGAGAGATATAATCTGTAACTGTTTATAGAAGGCTAATGTTAAGAAGGTTAAGGTACAGTAAGGTATCCGTAGGAAACGGATGGGATAGAGTGACATCCCGGCCGCGGAAGACCGTTAGATTTGACATAGTCCCTAGCCTAGCTCTAGCCTTGTTCGACCCGCTTTTGCCATGCGCCGCTGTAACTTTTCTTTTTGCTTGTAACATTTTGGTGTGGTTGACCATGATCAAGACTATCTCATCTTGACTCGCTAGACCTCGACAATCTGGAGAGAGAGAACCAACGGGAAGAAATTTCACTGAAGATCCTTAGTTTCTAATTGAGTTTTTGGCACGTTAACGGCGCCAGAGCGCCTATTAGTTGTTAGAGCTTCTGCACATTCCCGAGTCAGGTCCAGTACAATATTAGTGCTAGACGTTTAGAGTTTTTCTTTTTCTCTTGGTGTTGCCGTTTTATTGTATCCAATTCTGATACGACTGTGTTTTGCATATAACAACCACTAATAGTTGTTGGCTGGCTGAATGTCTATCCTTCTGATATGTGACGGTTGCAAGTTGACTAACCGTGCCTGTGAACAGAAGCAATGCCACTAGCCGAGGACAATGATGAGACACTATTGGAATGCAGCAATTGCCCCCGAACGTGATTTTCGACCATCATATCTCAGGATTGGTCTGCTCGTGGGCAGGGGTTGCGTGGCGTATAAGCAGAGACAAGACAAGATGAGGCAGACCAAAAGAAAAGGGTAAAGAAAGACAGACGATGGGAATTTGCCTGCTCCCGCACAAAGTGCATCTTGTTGGTGGAATCCATATACGACGAGGGGTATAGATGCGGAATGCGAAGAATTATGAATCTGTGTATGTATGTACGACAAGAAGAAAACCCGTGAAGTCATCTCTCCTTCTCCCTTACTTCGTTCTTGTTAGTCAGGGTTTCGTGATTTCTCCTCATCTTACAAAGTTCAACCTTCTCTTACTTTTGCTTCACGATCTCGATCTCTTCATTGAGCATCTCTTTTTGTCTTTGCTTGTGTTGTTTTTGTGATTTGACTTGCTCTCTTTTGCAAAGCGTGTTCGGACCTATACACAACCTGTCTGGTATAGTTGTAAGGGAGGACGAAAGAGAGAGGACGGACAGTAAACGGGCGATGAGAGGAACCGTTGGGGGCACAAGTAGAACGTTGCTCAAACAGGTACGACATTTCTTTTCTCTCTCTCTCTCTCTCTTTTGATTCCTCTTTCTTTGGTTCGTTCATTCATTCATTCATCATCACGGTGGCCCCTCAACTTGACTTTGATGGCTCAAGTCAAGTGACGATCAACACCAAGAGATGCAATGATACTGCTCCATCACGGACCCATAGCGATCTTGAGCTCTCAATCCGAGATCTGCTGTACCTTTTCGAGACGAGCTGAATAGTCTGGGATGGAGCTTGTTCCAGCATCGTAACACACACACAAACACTTCGCTCACACGGATGCACTGCACTCAATACACCAAGTACACACGGGCACACACACCAATATGCAAGCATGTGCAGGGCCACCCGCACCATCTCAAGCTTGACCGGGACTGGGATTGAGCTGACGAGATGATTGCTGCCTCAGTAACTGTGCTGTACTGTACTTTGTCCAGTACCAGCCTCAAGCGAACATATCAGAATTCCTCATGACGGCGCGAAAGAAGAAGCTGAGTATTAGTGGCATTGCAGGAAGTAACAAGAAGGAGAACATGAAAAGCAATGGAAGAAGTAATGGAACAGGAGGAGGATGGAGTTTTGGACGATGGGGTTCTACAAAAACAGCTTCAACAAACACAATGAGCAACTCGGTTAGTACCTTTCTTTTACTGTACTTACCTCTTCTCCTCTCTCTTGTTTTCCCCTCCACCGAATCCATTCACATGTGCTTGACCTGCACTTTCACACCCACTCGCTTCACTGCCCGACCCCCCATCAACGCCTTGCCTTACTCAGGGCAGCCAGCCCACGCTGCCTAAAGTGAATGGCAGTAGCTGCACCTTGTCAAGGTTGGGTTTAGGGGCGTTACCTAAGTCCCTGAAAGTTTTAAGAGGTTCCGTCATCAGACCAGAGGCTCCCTGAGCCGGAGCGGGAGCAGCAAAAAAAGATGATCAGTTGAAAGATGGAAGAAGTGAGTTTAGAAAAAGTCAATTGCAACGATGGAAAAGCAATCGATAAAATTCAACCCAATGAGGAAACGGTATAGCATGACACAGCACATCAATTACAACTCCAACAGCCATTCTCTTCAGCTGTCTCTTCACACTGTCAAGCCATATCCTGGAATCTTCTCTCACCCTCAATTTTGTCCCCCCTCTTGATCGAGTCTCATCTTGACCTGGGGGGCTTGTTCAAAGGCGGATCATCCCATCCCCATTGCATCCCTTTCGCTCATTCTTCCCTTTCCATTTCCTTGCTTGCCCCTGCACGAATCCTTGCAAAAACGCAAAAACCAAGCATAC